TTTATATTTGAGACACTATCTGAAGTTCTTTAGGGTAAGTAAACAGACATGAATACAATCAGCAAACAAAATCAATTTTCCAAGCACGGTTTGTGCATTCACCAACAGCCCATTTTCTCCACATCTGAACAAAGAGGGGTGATCACAGAATCTACATTAAAGGGTTATTGTAAGAAAGGAAGGAATTAACACATCAAAAGCATTCTGGACAGTGCCAGCTACAACAGGACTCCGTGCCAATTCTCGGTGTTTCAGTCCTTAGAATTATTCCTAGATACCGGAATGGAGGCTTCTCCAGAGAACTATGCGCTGGGAAATACAGATACACACACAAGCCCTAATTACTCTTCCCCAAATCTTGAGGCCAACTTTTAAACTCCGCCCAGTACATAAATGTGTGCCTGTGATCTCTCCTAAAGAGCTGTGTTGGGGCGTTGCTGTTTATATGCCTTCAAAGGTGGAGACACACAATGCCATTTTATGTCCAATCCCACGCAAAATGTTAAGAGGGATGCAGCAAAATATTGGCAACGACTTCACAATGCACACTTTTTCCCCGGTTTATATTTGTGCCGTAAACAGGATTCTATAAAAACTTGTCATTGTGAATGACGTCATACACACACAGGGTCGGTGTCGAAGGTAACGGACTGAATGCAAAGAGCTCAGCTCCTCAGTCGCATCGTCTTCCGCCTCCGGAGTTAACGACTGTTCTGATTTTTTGGTATCATTTACTCCTCAGGGAAGAGTTTGTATTGGCTGTACAGCTCATTTTGTGTTTCCCGGTGTATTATGGGCATAAGCTCCATGTCCTCCTTTTCCTTCTCACGGACTCCTCCCTTGCTGGGCTCCACTGTCTCTTGCGTCTCCTCCCCTTTTTCATCACCTTCTTTCCTGGATTCCTTCCCCTTGGCTCCTCCATGGACTCCTGTACCCCGTGATCTTAAAACAAAAGCAAGAAAGGCCCTTCCATCAACTGCAATGACATTAAACAGTGGTCTATCTCTTCTCCTCCATTGTTAACTTTCTTATAAAATACTTTTCACTTTTGCTCCAAATCTCACATCACCCACTACTTATTGCTTTATGATCTGCCGCTTTGAGCAACCAGGACCCCTCTGGCTACCTCCACCCCGAGCTGGATGGCCCGGACTGCTTCCACGCTCCCGAATCTTCTTACTCTTCTTCTTATCATTATACGCAGCTGTGTGCTCAGAATTCTCAGGTGTTTGGTCTCTTCCCCAGACTCCCAGACAGAATTTTTGAGCGAGGCTCGCTCTTTAGCTGAATCTGCATCACCTGGAGGGCTTGTTAAAACACCGGTGTCTCTTATGCTCTCTGAAATAAGCCAGTCGGAGGAAGACAAATGCCATGAGATTTCACTTCTACATGGAATCTAATGAACAAAATGAGCTAACAAAATAGGAACAGACTCCTGGACACAGAGAACAGACTGACAGCTGTCAGAGGGGAAGCAGTTGGGGGCTGGGTCAAAAAGGTGAAGCACCCCAAATTCATAATCACAGACAACAGTGTGATAATTGCCAGAGGGAAAGGGGGTGGGGCAGGCAGAAGAGGGTAAAGGGGAGATAAATGGAGACAGTTGGAAACTTGACTTTGGGTGGCAAACGTAAGATGCAATGTGCAGGTGATGTAGCATAGAACTGTACACACGAAATTGTATTAATGAATGTCACTCCAACAATTCAATAAAAATTATAAACAAAACAAGAATCCTTCTCCCCCACCATTGTCTATGAAATCGTTACTGAAGGCAACGCGCACAGTATCCCTCACCGTAGTGCGCAATTGGGGAACTTGTTTTTCAAGGTTCAGTCGTGAGAACAACTGCATTTCTAGCATATCCAGGATCCCGCTCCCCTGTGGGTCTCCCTCTGTCCCCTGCTGCTGCTTTTCCCTCCGACCGGCGTTCTTTCCTAATTCCTCTCCTCTTTCATGACAGGCTACCTTTGTCCAATGCATGGCCCAAGGACAAGCAAGAGCAGCATAACTTGAAAGCTTGCTGCAGACTCTCAGACCCCAGCCCAAAACCACCAAACCAGAAGCTGCCTTTTAACAAAGCCCCCAAGCGCTGTGTATGTATCGGAAGTATTAAGAAGCATGTCTCCAGGATGAAAAAGGTCCTAAGATATACCTCCCTACCCCTGCACAGAGCAGGGCCGGCCAGCTCCTACGGAACCTGGGACATGGGGACTCCAGCGTTCCTTCTCAGCCCCCGCGGGCAGAGGCCGGCACAGCTCTCTGAGGGCCTGGCTTCAGCCAGCCACCTTCCCCATGACCCAGGGCGGGTCTCACCGTGGGTACATTCCTGAGCTTACACTGGCTCGCTTGGCCTTGAACTCAGCTAGATTCCTCTTCTCGGCCCTAGAGCTTTGCCAAAGAAGCCTGGGGCCAGCTCTCCTGGGAGGAAGGAGACTGCAACATTAGCTTCCCAGAACCTCTTGGCCAATAAAAAAGAACAGGTTCAACCCACCTTTTCAAAGGTCAATGGCGCATCTCCACATGGTGGACATCTTAGGGACTCCCCGTATTCAAGGCCAAACTCACGCGCTCCTGCACCCCGACACTTCTGACCCCCCTGCCTTTGTTAACAGTACCAGCAGGCTCCCGGGAGCCAAGGCCCAGGCCAGGTGCCAGGCAGGTGATGTCAATGGGAGGGGGGGAGCCCGCTTTGCTGAAAGGGTGAGCACCTGAAGGTTATCCTTTCTAAATATAGTCCCACTGTTGCCAAACTGAAATTTTATGTGTGATCTCCCGATTTTATTGTGGCAAGAAATTAAAAAAAAAATTTAACTATGAGAGCCAAAACAAACAAACAAGCGTGTTTTGCAAGGCTGTACAGGGCCTGTGCCCAAAACCAAGTCATCCCTGGCTTCCTCCTCCCCCTTCCCCTCTCCTCCATCAAGACCTACGCATCTCACTCCAAAGCCCTAGCTTCCTTTGCTTCGTCCCTCCGCCAGCTGACTCCCTGCACCAGGGAAAGCACACATCCGGCATCCCTACCTCTACCGCTTTGTAGTAAAACTCACCCACCCACTGCCAAATTATTTTAAAATACTGCTCCGATCACGTATATTGCCTTTCTGTTCAAAGCCCTTTGGAGTCTCCTGTGGACTCCAGCTGTCAAAACTCTATCCCGAATGGCACTTCCTCCCCCTTGCCCTGCTAGTTGGTGGTGCTTTTGGCTGGGGCTTCGGAGGCTTGGAGGGGGGTGCGCAGAGCGGGTAATGGTGGTTATGCAGGTGGACAGAAGTCAGAGCAGAGCACGGCTCAGACCCACGGCACAGACGGAACTGTCTTCTGCCTACTCCCTACTGAGAGCCTGGAGAAGACATAGCAAACTGTGCACCTGAGTTTGCAAGCCCGCAGCCTCTTGGTCAAACGTGGTCTACAAACACCTTTTGTTGAACTGGCATTGCTTAAAAAGCAGGGCTGTGAAACTGGGAAAGCCAGCATTCATGCTGCCTGTCACCTACCAGACCCAATAAGCAGAGACAGGGACTGGATCTTTATGGGCACTTTATTCAGAGGGCTGAGAAGACGCCGGGTTTGTACCCTAACAGACCGTCTTACATTCCATTTTAAACGGATCCTTTTTATAAGGAGAAGGAAAATGTAGGTAAGGCATTTGGAATTCAGGGAAGTTCATCAGGTAAAAAGCTGCAGCATTCTTTCAGCTGCGCCCTGGGCGGTGGTCGTCCCACCCCGGAGTACGATGGCTCAGATACCAACCTGATGGCTCGCAGACCCCCTGAGACACAAAAATGGAACTGCTTGTGGTCTCCTGGAGTCAGGGCGGGTCATACCTTCAGTTCCTGAAACAATAGCTTTTTGCATACATTGATTACTAAGCTTACTAGCTATTACCCAAAACTAAAATTTTCCAACATTTGACTCCCTGATCCGTTGTACTCTCTAAAAATAGTGATTGTACCTAAAAATCAGGATTCCTGTACCAAAAACAAACAAAAAAGAAATTGGTGGCAATGACTGGTGGAAACTGGTGGCTGGAGCTGAGTGTTAGTTACCTCTTTAAACTCTATTTACCAGTCTTACCTACCCAGGAAACTTACTAGCAAAAATAAGAAAAGACTTAGCGACACTTTAGAAATAAATTTAAAATAGGCATCATATTTCTGGTGCCCTAGAACTTCACAGGCAAATAAAGTGTAAAGTCAGCAACGAAGTATAATATACCCCTCCTCCCCCACGTCTGTTTTCTTGTATTTAGGCTTCCTTGCTGATATGCTGATACAACTTTAAGTCCCAGCCAGTTACGTGATTCAGTGACTCAGTTCCTGACACGTTCACCAGATGAGCCTTCAGTTAAAGTCTGCAGAGTTCAGCCGGCTCTCCCAGCAGCCCCTCTGGGCCCACCCTTCCCGCCCCTCTGGGGCCCGCTGGGATCTGGCCAATGGCGGTCAGCAGCTGCATTTTGGAGAGAAGAGGCCAGGGGTCCACTCTCCTGGCTCGGCCACCGCAGGGATGTCGCAGGTTGCCTCTGTCCCTCCCGTGGGCCCTGGGTTCCACAGTGACGGGGGTGGCTGCTCCCTGCCCACCTCTGAAATCTTGGCTGAAGTTTTCTGAAACTATGCTAAGTGTGTTCTCTGTTTCCTGCTACAGCCTGACTGTATGGCCTCCGTCTCACTGCCCTAACCAAACGCTAACCAAACGCAGGCAAGGGAAGATGTCCTTTCAAGAGTCATTTTCTAAAACTTAAATATCACTATTTGGGACCATTTTGCAGCGATTTAAAGGGTGCCTTCATGTCATGAAGAATTTCAGAATCCTATATTCTATCTTTAAGCAGGAACTGTTTCTAAACATTTCATTTTTAAAAAATGCAATATGCAGTGCTTAGCCTTGCCGATTTACAAAAACAGCATTTCCTCTTAAAATTGTCTATTTAATCCTAGAATTATCCCCCTTTTTGTATGGTCTTCCATTGGTATTTTAGCATATCAGTGCCATCTGCTGGGAAGTTAATGTACCATTAGGTCTTTCAAATCCCAAAACATACGTCTTTTGGGGGGCGGTGGGGGATCAATGTACTCTTTATTTAAGAAAAAGTCTTATTTTTAAATACACAGCTGCTTTACTTCTACATCATTATCAATATAAACCCCAATTAATTACAAAGCACTAAAATAAAGTCTGAAATATACTTTCAAAAAAAAAAAAACACTAAACATTTCTATTGATACATCTCTTGGTTTCTAGAATATTCTTCTGTTGTCCTGCTCTATGTTTGTATGAAGCTCAGCAAGTCTCAGCAAGCCCGTACTTTTCCAAAAATCTGATACTGATATCTAAGAGATAAGTGAAATATATGTTTAGATATAACACATATTGCATGTATTTAAATAAAATATATACTTTTTTTAGTATATGACAAAGTTTTAGGTGTAAAATGAGCGGACTAGACAGATGTAGGATTAGATCTTTCTGGCGTCTTTTCGTCATCTCTAAATAGCAACTGAAATAAACACGTAAACAACATGACACAAATGTTCGATTTTCTGATAAAAATTGCAACAGATATTCTAAATGATAATATAGAAACATAAAAGATTGCTTAACTGATTTTAATAACATGACATATAACCCCTATGCTTGATATAATTGTTCTGTAAAATACATAGATGAATACTGTCTTCTTTTAAAAATATAAAATAAATAAGCAAGACATGTGAAAATAGGCAAGTTTCCATTAAATAAATGAAAATTTTTTTTAAAAAAGAAAATCTGCTTTCCTTATAATTTGAAGAAGGGAAATTATCATTTAAACAATAGTTAAGTTTATTAAACAAAATTTTTAGAGCATCATAAAACATTCAGCTCTCGTCAGCTTCGAGGTTTATGTTGCTCCCAAACTTCGCGTACAGCTGGACTTTCAGGTCCGCCAGCACCCGCTGGATGGACTCTACTCTGGATTCCAAGGCGTCGATTTCTTCCTGCAAGTTTTTCTGGGGGAAAGAATTGTTTACATTAATTCTATTCTATTGGATGGCTTCTGAACACCTGTAGCTGGAAAAAAATATTTGGGAAGACTTTATGGGTCAAGAAATCTCTAAACTTGGGACAGGCAGCTACATATTACTGATAATTAGATCTTAACCAAAAATCTGAATGCAGGCATTTTTAATTCATGGTCTGTATTCGCTTATTTTAAGATAAATCAAGCTTGTTTTCTCAGTTTTGGCTGATTGGAAAACTATCAGAGAAAAATAAAACCAATTTCTAAGTGAGCACATCCTAATAAACACAGGACCCCAGGAAACACGCCTGGTAAACGGCTGATCACAGGCAGGGCTTCTGGCACAGCCTCCCCCAACTTCCCGTAAAAATAACTGTGAAACTAGAGGAAGCGATAAAAACGCACACTACCCCCAATACACAGTAACGACAACTTACAGTCAAAATCTGGCAGACACGTTCACAAACGAGCGGGCCTTCCCACCTACAGGACACACGCCATGCAGGCGGAGACCCGGCCCGTTTCCTGTCTGCGTCCCTCACCCGGTCGAACCTGACACAGAGCACGCGCTCAACAAATGCTTCTGGGGTGAACGAGTGAATGAAGGAGCAGATGAGCAAGAGAGCGAGTGAATGAATGAATTGCAAAAGAAAGGTTCAATATCCCCGCGGGGGTGGGAGGGTAGGAGGGATGGATGTTCACAATAGTGACAGAAACTTACCCTGAAATACTTCCGAGAAGAGTACTTTAGGATGGTTAAAAAGAAAACCTAAATTACACCCTTTTACTATGAAAAAGATGTAAGCACAAGCGGGGACATACAACGTTTCTGTGTGGACTGAGTTCTTCCCAAGCTTTACTGAATGTGGGTTTCATTTGTGGAAAGTTTTCCTTTCATGGCATTTAAGGAAGGGAGACAAACATTTTAAATAATACTCAAGCTATTTAAGCACCTTTCACAAGAACGAGAAAGCATTTAACTGCAGGGGCTTCTCACACACACACGGCGGCTGCGCCTCCCCCAGGCCGGGGCAGGGCCCATGGACCGGAAACTAACTTCGCACACCCTCTCAATGTGCCCCAAACGCTGTCACCGAACCCGCGCTCCACTGATTATTTCATTAAAAGAATTTCCTAAAGGGGGGCAAAGATTTAAGTACAAAAATGCCCATGAGAGAATTCCTTTAGGAAAACCGGAAACATGTGACTGATACCGTCAGGAGGGCAGTGAGCCGCATGGAAGTCCACCGACACGGCATGGACGCGTCACCAGAAAGGATGTTTGGTAAGTACCTGTGCCCGGTCCAGACTGGGCTCCCAGGGAGTGTCTGCCGGGCCAACGTTCAATGGGAGGAGAAAATACTACGAGGACGTCCACTGACCAAACGTGAAGCAAAAGTCCAGTGAAAAAGGAGAACATGAAAAAAACAAAACCCCACAAGAAAATGTCCATTAAGGATGATTCTCTCTGGGCAGAGGGATGACGGGCGAGTCTTCTGTTCTGCTTTCGAATATTCTATACTCTCGCACTACTTCTAATTTGGGCCGCAGGTTCTGGAGTCACAAGAGGACCCCCCTCCGCCGCCTTGAATGAGCGGCAGGGCGTCGGGAAGCCGCTACTCCCCCACGCTGACTGGGGCTCACGGTGCCTGTCCGGTGCCTGTCCGTGGAGCCCTTGTCAGGGTCCGGTCAAATCCCGCTCGCGCCGCATTCCGAGCTCGCGCGGGCCGCTGCAAGACCCACGGGACGTTACCCAGCGCCCCTCGCTTCCCTGCAGCCGCGCGCTCTGCGTAATGACACAAATCCCACCTTAAGAGTCAGACTGCGCCCCCCCACCCGGGAAAGACATCCACGCACCTTTGCTTCTTCGAGCATCTCTTGTGTTTCTTCTTGAGAATGGCTGATGAACACGTCGCCGATCTGATACGGTATCATCAAGCGGTCGTCATCTGCCAGCATGATGTCCTCGCAAGCATCCTCTAAATTCTGCAGGTGTTTCTACAAATGCAGACAGGCACAGCGGTCAAAAGTGTATGCACCCGTTCCCCGAGAGAGGCTGACAGCCCATTTTAACGTGGGGACACCGACACTCGGGGGGCCCTTTCACCAAGGTATGAGCACACGAAAGCGAGGCTTTCCTGGCGTTTTGGGGTGGCTTCGTGAGGAGGCGCTGAGAGCCAACATGCTGATCTCCAGGTTTGCCCGGGCCGCTGCAAGCCCGCCGTGGGGCAGACAGCGGGCCTCCAGCGTCTCCTACTCTAACAGTTCTCCCTGGGTGAGTCCTGCCTTCCTCTGGGAGGATGAAAGCAGAAACAAAAACGGATCTACACTTCTCAGCAGCGCCTGATGGTGGGATGGAAGCAAATAATGAACGTGAGTTCCACCAGTCAAACGCCCTTGACTGGACTTCAGCTCTAGGAGAGCTGCGTGAGCAGAGGCTGGGGCACGAGGCTGCGCCGTGCGGGGCGGCCTCAGCGTGAGGGGGAGGCAGCCGGCCGCGGGGACAAGCTCAGTTCCAGCCCGGCTCCCTGAGACACGGCTCCGGGACCGGCTGCAGGAACCTCAGCCTGGGTCCCAGCCCTCGGCAACCTGTAAAGTGGCTCTCATCCCTGCAACAGGCCTTCCCTCTTAACCGAGCGCGGATTACGTCGTCTGCATCGGAGTCCGGAGGGACGGAGAAGCACAAGCTACTGGACGCAGTTTTTAAAAGCTACGGAGCGTAAAGAACTTTTCTTTTTCTTAGGTAAGATACATATTTTCAATACCTTTTTTACGTCTATTTCTTCCTTCAGCTCTGTGATTCTACTTGTATTCCGTGCAAATTTGTTTATCTTTTGTTGATCTTCAAATGTAACATTGACATCTTCTGCAGCCTGAAAAAGAGTGAAATACCAGACTCTCACTGGCTTCCTCTCACTTGGTTATATTTCAAGGAGGAAAGATGTACCTCGTTTACACAAGGACTACCACCGACAGTGATGACTCACAGTAACCACCCCCTACCTCTTCGCTGGTTTCTCATGACTGATGACACAGGATATGTACACTCTGATTTCTGAAGAGCTTGCAGAGCAACCTGTTGTCTCAAGCAATATAGATCTCAGTGCCAGAATATAAAGGCAGTCACCTAGAACTCGGCCCTCCCCGTCCCAGGCTCTCATCGCCCCGTGACATTTCACGTGCATCAAGCCTATCGTCCAAGACCTGGAGGACAGCTTGGAAAATATGCTATACAGCACGCCGTATATAGCTTTGAATATTCAACCCTGTGCACAATTTGTACAAGTATGGAAGTTGGTAAACACTGGCCTACACCCCGGAAAGCAAAGGCAAGTCCTTCTGAAGGTAATGCCGGCATTCGAGACATTTTGCTCCAGGAGAACTCCAATTCCCTATGCAAATAGAGGACAGAGAACTCTATAGAGTTCCTGCTTGCCTGCGGAGTTCAAATACTGAGCCCTGAACACCTGCCTGTGCACTTTTAGGTGCATTTGTTGGTGGGAGGCTTTCAGGGGGCAGCCCCCGTGAAAGCACCTCGCACAGGTGTTCCCAGACACACGTCCTGGCCTCGAGGCAGGGCTCCGGAATTTGAATCTGAACCACCCTCCATCACACTCATGTGCACCCCGTTCCTGAAAAGCTGTAGGGGATTTGGCCCCTCCTTTCCACCCTCCCAAAGCAGGCGTTTCCTGGTGTAGCTCCACCCAACAGCAGCCCCCTGCACGCAGGTGAGCCCTGGCAGGTGAGCCCTGGGGTTCGCTTCCTTAACGGCGGTCTGCCCACGGCGGGTAAGGGCCCCAAGTTGGCGTGGGAGGCAAATCGGCTCTGGGTTAACCAGGTGCCACCCAGCAGAGTGCTGTTGGCAGCAGGAAGGGAGGAGACTACACCTTCCACGACCAACAGCAGTGGCTTCCCTTTCAATCTCCCAGATCTCACACCCTCCCCCATCGCTGGCAGCTTCATTTTGGCAGGAGGCCTTCATTCTTAAGTGGGGCTCTGTGGACATTGAGAGGTCCATTTACCCCCTGAAACTGTATGCAAAATGGCATGTATTGCACGTGCATTCTGGAAGGGTCGTCATAGCTCTCATCAAGATTCTTAAAGGCATCCACATCCGCAAAGGTCAGGGACTCCCGCTTTAAGAAAAGCCAGATGTAGTGACTACCACTCACAAAGCCAGAAGGACCGCAGAGAGGGGAGCTCTGGCCAATTTCAGTCTGCTTTTCTTTTTGTTTTTTAAAGGTATCTACCAAGTCTATGACATAAAATTTTGCTTTGTATTGTTATTCACCTTTCGTGCATACATTTAATAGTTATTTAGTGTCCCCTACGTGCCGCACACGGTGGAAACGGAGCTGTGGTCCTGCCACCAGGAACGCGGGCGAGGGTACAATCGGGCGGAGGAGAGGCGTAACAACAAGGTTTTCTGCTAGATGGTGATATATGTGATGAGGAAAGTAAAATACTTTAGGGGCTGAAAGTGTTGGGGGGCTGGGGAGTGAAGGGGGCATCTTTATTTTTTTATTTTTAATTCTCACCTGATGATACGTTTATTGATTTTAGAGAGGAAGAGAAAGGGAGGGAAGGAGAGAAGCAGGGAGCAAGAGAAACATGGATGTGAGAATGTACTGGTTGCCTCCCATAAGCACCTCAACAAGCGATCAAACCAGCAACCTAGGTTATGTGCCCCCACTGGGGATCGAACCCACAACCTTTGGTGTATGGGATGAGGCTCCAAGCAACTGAGCCAGCCGGCCAGGGATGAAGGGGGCTTCTCTGACGAGGGAGCATGAACAGGCATCAATCAGGCTGGAGTCCCCTGCAAGGCCACGCACGGGGTCTTAGAAAAGGGGAACTTTGGAGATGAGGGGACTTAATCAGTTCGCCTAAACATCCTCACCAGAAAAGTCAGGACACTTTAGGAGGTAACAATGTGTTACAAACGTGAAGGGCTCCAGACTGCAAACAGCTTGTGGGAAACTCAAAGGGCATCACTGTGGGATTTCCCTCTCAGTCACTGGCAGGCCTAGATGTCCCTAAAGAGGGGCCGAGGGGGAGGTGTACCTACCAGACGCCGTTCATAGCAATGGGAACATCAGGAGAGGCTGTTGCACCTGACCTGCTGGCTTAACTAAGAAGAAAAGCTTCCTGTTTAGGCCGCACCTACCCCTCTATGTTTCTCTGCCTTCTCAGTTCGAGCTCTCCTCCCCACGCCTCTGCCATTCTGACGTTCCCGTTATTCAAGGCACTCGGGGTCTTGGAAAAGAAACTCCCTCTCTAATACCTCTGGCTCCCTTTCCAACATTCTCTCCCCCTCCTCACATAATCAACCAGATCACACCTTCTCTGGCCACAAACCAGCCTTCATTGCACAAGCACCTTTCTTTCATAGTTCTTTTCGGAGCTGGAAACTTTAGTTTTCTGCCTGGCCATTCGATGAATGCCTGTCTCTTCCCCAAAGCTAAGTTCCACAATGAATGCCACGGGGGTAAGGGAGCAAGAACTTCATTTCCGCAGCCCCCTGCCATCTCTGTCCCAAGATGTGCTCAAAAAGCTCGCTGAAGGAAAAAATATCAGTGATCAAAAATTTTGCAAAGCCTGCGGTTCAAATCGTTCCTCGACCATTTCCACAACGTTGACTTCATCTCTCTTCACTGCGGTTTCCACCCGGTCAGATGCAGGTGAACCGCAACTAGTATCTTCCATGGAATTAAAGGCCAGAGCAAACAACGGAGAACCCAATTTAAATACAAAATAAGAGAAGTCAATTGCACCAAGTGTCGCTTTGCCTGAATGAACAGGGCCTTGAACCTGACCCAGGAGCTAAGAATGTGTAGATGACACATCAACATCTACACATGGAGGGAGCACTCATCCTGGTACACCCGGGGTTGGGGGCGGGGGGGTTCCCACGTTTAACATGCCCAAACTTAGACACACAGCAGTGAGTGGCCTGAGAGTGATTCAGCTTATAAGAAGCGGAGTTGGGATTCAAACTCAGGTTTTATTATTTAGTTTTGTTTTCCCAAAGCACACATTTCCTAGTAAGCAAACTAAACTCCTATTTAGGGTTTATAATCTAGTAAATCTCCCTAGATGCTTAAAGATAGAAGAAAAATATATGGGGCGAGGACGTATACCAGCGGATAAAATTATCGAGGCTTTACTGTGTGCCAGGCACGGTTCTAAGCGCGTTGAACCTATTATTAATTTTAATCTTATATTCCTTTTAGGGGGATACTATCTTTATCCTTATTTTACACATAAGGACGCTGAAGCTCGGGGGCGAAACCAGGATTTAAATAACACAGGCGCTGAGGCTGCAGAGCCTCTGTTTTGAACTTCCATGGCGTCTGATGACAGTCCCCCCGCTGAAGGGATTTGCTTCCCAAGATCTGGTGCCTGTTTGCTCTCACTCCAAGTCCAGGACCACATGAGAACTTGGTTCCTTCGCTCTCCCGCTCTGCAGAGTCCCCTGCGTCCCTGCGAGCCGGAGACGAAGGGGAGGGTGAGGGATGACAACCGCAGCGGCGCCGCGGCTGGGCCCAGGGCCCTGGGGCCAGCTCATCCCGGAGGCGGGGACCTGCTCGGCTCCCCACCGCTACGTAACCTGGGCCAGGTGACTCCACCTACCTGGGCCTCAACTTCCTCACCTGCAAAGGGAGGTACCGCTACTACCTACACGTGTGAATCCGTGCGAGTTAACTGGGTTAACCCAGGTTCAGCGCCAGAAGTTATGGCCAATGGATCCCGGGCTTCCCGCGCCCCAAAGACACGCGTGGGCCGCGGGGTCCCCAGACACGCTCAGAGGGGGCCGGCTGCAAGCAGGCCTCGCCGCGGGGCCGCGCTTAGGGTAGGGGGGCCTCGGCCCTGGACCCCACGCCGGGCCTCGGGGATGGGTACCCCAACACCCCTCGCCTGGCCCCTCGGCGGCCCGTCGCGCCCACCGCCCGAGCATCCGCCCCGCGAGCACCCCACTCACCGCCTTCTTCATGGTGGCCGCCATCTTGGGACTGGACCACGGCGCGAGGCGGGGAGGGCCGCGCCCGCGCGCTTCTGCCCTGGCCGTCTCTCACTCCCTGTTGGCCCACAACTCCCACAAAATACAACGCCGTTTCCACATTCTCTCCTTTTGAATCTTCGACTAACGGTTTCGGACGTCTAGGACTCGGGGAGGATATGTAATCTGGAAGGATTTGGTACATGCCAATTAAAGGGACGGGCACCTCCCTGTGAGCCGACCTAAACCGGGGGGTGTGGCGAACGGCCGCAGGCTCCAGCGGCGGCCAGCAGGGGGCGCCCGGCGGGGCGGGGCCGGGGGCGGGGCCTAGGCAGGGCCGCGCGGGGATTGACGAGAAATTCTTCTTCGTCAACCCCACCAATTGGTAAGGAGAAATTGACCTACTTAAAAAAAAGAACTAAGAACGAATGGCGTTGGCCCTTGGCAGTAGGATATGATATTAATGCGCCCTCATAATGCAGACGGTATAAAGGAGAAAGTACTCTTATAACTAATTTATTCAACAACACTATTGAGTCATTACTGTATACTCCTAACATTTGTGCCTTCCAAAATTTTTTTTTTTGGTCTCAGACTCCCTGTTTGGACCAGCAAAATAAATAAACCGGGGGGTACAAATGAAAACAGTTGGGGACCGCTGGTCAGGAAGGAGACTCACCAAACTACTTGAAAATGCTGTCCCCAGGGAGAAGAGGACATTGGAATTAACACATGGGCTGGGGGAGGGGGAGCGGGAGGGTAACACACTCCCTTACACCAGGCTAACACTGGCCTCCCACTTCCTGGATCTAAGACATGGGTTTTTTGTGTCTTTTTTTTTTTTTTAACCCACCTATATTTTTCTTTAATTGAACCAACATAGGAAAATTAGATTTCCCTCTGCGATATCAGAACAATATTTTTGTTTTGCTTAAGCTTGTAAAATCAGAGTCCTGGTGACCTTAGCAGAGTCCTGGTGACCCTGAGCCTACCTTTTTGCAGGACAGCAGCTGCTGGTGCCGATCGGGCACCGCCCATTGAGCGAACACACACTCTCCAGGGCTCCGGCAGATCCCCACCTGCCTCGTCCTGAGCTTGCCCGTGGGGCCTTCCAGGTGTATGAGCTCGTGGGTGATTTGTTTGTTTGAAATCTGTACCGGGCTCGATGTTACTGCAAAGAGAAAGATGAATTAGGCAAAGTGCTTGGCACTGAGGCCTTACTGTCGGGACACCGGTGTCACCACAAGTCATAGCACCTGAAGCCAGAGTGCTGAGGGGTCCCGGGGAGGCAGAGCTGTGTCTGAGTGGAGCAGAGGACAGTGGGGCTACAGAATCTGAAAATAAAAAAGACAAAACTCCTTGTCCTGGTGCAGCTTGCATTCTGGTGGTAGGAAATAGACCACAGTCAAGACATCAAAGTCAGTTATACCGTGTGATAGAAGGTGTTATCAGTAGGTTATTAGTAGCTCTAACAAGAACACATATAATAGCAATAAAAGACTAACTACCGGTGCGAAAACTGTGAGGAAGATACGAAGAACCCAATGGCAAGTTGATTGGAACACTGAGAGGAACAAAACTCTATCTGAATTGACACGTGAGTTACAAAATTGTCCAGACATGTCCCAGCTTTCATTTTGATTCTGTCACAGAGCGATGGTGAGCTCAGGGCAAGATTTCACAGCATGAGTTCCCTCCAAAACCTGCCACCTCTGCGCCGGGCTGCTGGTTGTAAGACTGCAGGGTGCCTGCAGGGGGCGCGCAAGGACCGCGGTAGTGTTCCCAGACCCAGCCTGAGGCCACCTGGGTAAGAGTCTGCCCAATGATCAACACGATTATTTTCTTAATTATTTTTTTAAAAAAACCTGTTTTAAAAACGCAGCTTAAATATATCTTAAGAGAATATTTAAAATCTCTGACTTAAAAGGAAAAACCCGTTTCACTTGCTACAGATCTTAAGGGATTTAAATCAATCTCCATTTTCTCCAAGATGAAATTGCGGTTCCACTGAGCTTTGATCCAAGGGTGGAAGGTAGCAGGCAATGGAAGGGCGGACTGGCCCCAGGTACTGCCCCTGAGGGCCGTTTTCCATATCAAATTAATGTAAATAATCATGGTATATTTAAAGATAGGGAACTTAAAAAGCAGAGAAGGAAGAAAAGGGCAAGAGATGAAGCTGGAGATAATTCCCCCCACCCCCCAGGCCTCCCAGTGCGGAGGCGGGGGGAGGGGGAGGGGTGGGGTGAAGAGCAGATTCCCAGGCCTGCAGGGCCCCAGAGAGAGTAAAAGTGAGAGACGGATGGCAGGGAGGGACTGTGCTCCATCCAACCGGCTGCTCCTCCCCTGCAGCCAACTCTTTCCGCGAGGAAATGGACTAAAAGTCCCCCTTCTTCCTAGAAGCCAGTCCTCTGGATTTGCTTTTAAGTCTTGTGATTTTGAAACCATTCAAATTCAGTGTCGAATAAATTCTAAACCTACTATGTCTGCCAACTAGCTGGAGCGCGCAGGCCACCCACCGCTCTGTGACCTCTAATTACGCCTCCCCAGGGGCACGTCTTCTGGAATGTTCTCATGACCAAATTTCTCATTCCTAAATAAAAGGGGGGGGGGAATCCCGTAGGTTTTCTAAAGTAAATCTATGCAAATAGGGGACTCTGGGACAGATGCAAATCAGGGACTCTGTTACTGAAAGATTCCCCCTCCCCTCACCCCCTCCCCACCCTAGACAGATTGCTCTCTCATATGTGTTGTTTCACAGACCACCAGAATTTCCTCTGTGTCTCTTCTTGATTCAGGATGCAATCCATCCTTGGAAGCATGGCTTGCCTATTGTTAATCTCTTCCATCTTTAAATTCTGCCCTTGTCCTCAGTTTTACGTGCCTTATCCTCTCTCTCTTGTCGTTCTTTTCGGTCATATTGTGCTGGGTATAGAAAACACTGCCAGTTTGTATTTGGCTCAGCAATCTTGTACATGGTTTTATCGTGGCCCCATTTGAAATTCTTCATCTTCCCCTTGCACGTGGGTCTAATTTGGATTCCCCTACCAAAGTCTAGCCTTTCTCTCTGACCTTATTTCATACCCTCTTTTCCCTCACTTACCATGCTCTGCTCTGTGGGTGCCTCCTGCGCCCTTCTGCCTCAGGGCCTTTGCACCTGCTCATTCAGCTGTGCTTGATATCCTTTCTCCTGTTTTTCACTTGGTATCCTTTCTCCTGTTTTTCACTTGGATACATTTTCCTCATTCTCAACATGCAGCTTTTATGTATCTCCATCAAGAAAGCTTTTCTTAAAACCATTCACCCAGAGACAGCAACATCCCCCCTTTTAACATCCTTTAAGCCCGCCCTAACACATTTCGAACCTTGTCTTCCCCGTTATACCGGGAGCACCAAGGGAAACCTGCTGTTTCATCATCACTGTAATCGCAGCACCAATAGGAAGGTAGATGCTTGACAAATATTAGCTAAGGAATAAATAAATGCACGAATGAATGAGAGACTGTGTGTTTAGGGATTAACACAGTAATATATAATATAATGTAGCTATTGTTGAATTCATTCAGTAACAATATACAAGAGTCCATAGTCCATAGGGTATTTCCATTCACTTTTTTTTCTTTTTTTTTTCCTAGCTCTGGTACTACAATTGTAATCGTGTGGACTCGTCACCTGAGCAGCCCTTCCTTCTTTCACCAGGTGGCGCTGTGACTCCAGATTCTGACACTGGATTTTTCTCTTGCAACCAAACCCTCAAGAACTGTTCATCTTCTTTTCTCCCCTCTGCAAAGCAAAATTGCACAAAATCAAGGCAACCTCTCTGTCTTCGGAACAAAATATCACTGTCTTTTGCTAGTTCCAAATCTTTCCTTAACGTTTACCCGGCAAAAGGGAAAGCATTGTCCAGAGCCTTCAATGTATGCATTGCTTTTAGGCCTTGATAAAATAGGGCATTACAGCAATTTTCACATTGAGAATGAGTCAGAACTTGTTACGAGGAGCAGTCAAAGCATATCTTTGAATCAAAATGTACATTTGCTAGTGAGATTCACTCAGCAAGGATATACTTGGAACCTCAGTGCACCTGGCATCGAGCCAGGCAGCCTCTTCACACAGATGCTGTCTGTAAAAGGACCCGTAAGTGGGCATCTTGTGTATTTGTGACCATCTAATATCACTCGAATACTTTCCTCTACATTTGGGGAAACTTCCTGGTCGTGAGTGTTACCTTTCCATTCTAGAAATCCGAACTCAACTCCCTGGCATCTTTTAAGCTAGGACGCAGGCCTGTGGCTCTAGGTCCAGCCAATCAGATTCACTAGCGGGAGGCTTTGACCTAAGGGCACAAAGAGGGGAGGTGCCGGGTGCCAGGTCCAAGGGGGAACCCATTCCTGTGATGGGGGTATCCTGGCAGAGCCGCTGGAGTCCCCTGAAGCAACAGGAAGAGAGGCCCTTGAGGGCGGCTGGTGACTCTGGCCCAGAGGTGCTGACATCCTAGCAGCAAGCAGGCCTGCAAGGTCATTCCAATGTCACCCCTAGATGTTTGTCTCTACTGCAGGTAACCCAACCCTCACGAAGGGTCTGTGCGCATTCCTAGCTATTGGGAGGTCAGTTGTTTGACACAAAGAGCCCCCAAAAGATGTTCTTTTCAGAGAAAAGTTATTCCTTTTTTTGCTGTAAATTCAGCCAAAATGACCGGGAACATCACTGCGGAGGTGAAATTCTACCTGAACAAAAATGTCACCCTTCCTACATTGCCATGACACACGCCAGTTACAACTATGGATGCTAAGCGTATTTTCAATGCTTTTTATTTTATAAATCACATGCTCAAGGTTGCATCTGTGTCAAACTGACACTGACCTTAATGGGCGACAGTGTAGCAAGACCACAACAAAGCCAACCACAGCCACCAAGCCAGCACAAACAGCCACCAGCAGATAAGGATCAGCCCGCAGGGATTGCCCAAGGGAATGGAAAGAACACCCACTTGGAGGAAGAACAGCCGCTGCTGGATGCTTGGAAAGCCTCAAGCAGCACTAAGACCTGTCACTGGCCATCACTAATGTGCCCACAGGTGTTCTCTGCACGGCGCCTTGCAGGCGGGGAGGCTGAAGGGGGAATAAAAGAGCAAGCCCTGGCCTCACTCTGGCACCAGGAAGACAGATGAATGCTTAGAAAGGGTTAGAAAGCAGCTTCAAAACATGCCTACACACTTTTATTGTTTTAAAACTAGTTCTCTTTCT